CCTTTGTTTCACTAAAAATAACATTATATACACTTGTATACGTATCATAGTAAGTGCATCTCGATGAGCAATATCAAAAAGACCATTCACAGAATCACTAAATAACTTTTCTTTTTGTTTAAATGTTTGATTGGTTTTATTTTTTGAAATACCTTTCCACTCCTCGTAAAGTTTAATTAACTTAGCTTTGCACCTATGAGATACTTGTGTCGGAATCCTAGCTTTTTTCCAAAACACTACACATTCCTCAATCACTAGTGAAGCGCTATCGTTTAAATTTAGTTTTGTTATTCTCATATTATAAAATAAAACTTTTAGACAATCACCTCTTGAAGGCAATTTTGAACCTGTTATTTCATGATTCATATACCTAATGAGAATTATCTTTTTACGCTACGACATTTTAAAATTTATTTGAATAATAACTGAGGTAACAGTTAAATATATACCTAGATACTTTTGTTACTATACAACAAATCACGCTGGCACTATGTTTTATTATTTGATGTAATAACTGCAGTAGAAATAAATGGATATAGGACAACGGAATATTCCCAAGCACCATAAAAGATTATTAATAATATTTCTATTTTATATTATTTGGTGTAATAACTGTAGTGAAAATAAAAATGGATATAGGACAACGGAATATTCCCAACCACGGTAAAAAATTATTTATAAAATTCAATACACACTGTTGCGTAATTATGGATATTAGATAGATATTGCTAAAATTTATAATAATAGTACTATTAAAACTGAAATATTTTTTATTAGTYAACTTTTCACTTTAGTCGTCACACGTTAAATTTCTTCAATTATGCTTAAACTACAGATTTTTATTTAAAAGATATATAAAAACCAAATTAGGGGGCGCACTGGTAAAAAATTTTACTTAAGAAAATAAGTGGCACCCTATTGTTCATAATTACTTCATATAATATGGGAAAGAGAGCTATGATTCACAATAATTTAATAGTTCTTAATTTTTAATTTTTTTTTTTAAAGGCAAACACCTGATCATCCTAAACTTTATTTGTGGTCTGAACAAGGTTCAACAAGAAATGAAGAACCTATTCAAGATAAGCTCGAAGAATGTAAATTCACCAAAATGAATACTACTTATAATAATTATATACTTTCATTTAAATTTATTTTTAATTTTAATGTTTGATCAATAATCTTTCAGTGCTCTCTGGACCAGTACCTGAAAAACCTATCAATATTTCTGATTGTAGAAAAAATCTACTAGAAGAAATTGAAGATGGCTTTGACAATTTAGAAGCCAGAATTAACTTATTTGAAGCCAAAACTAATGGTAGATTTTCTTTATTTAAACTCACTCATTGTTTAAGTTGTTACTGAGGTCTAACAATTAATTATTGTTATATAGGACTTGAAGATCAAGTTAATGGCTGCG